TCACAATCTCTGTATTTATTTACCTTTATAACTAGCACATTCATTTTACAATTTTTTAAATTTCTTTAATTTATTAAAATATTTTAATACTTTTAGGATTTAAGATGTTTGTATTGCTCTGTGTGAAGCAAACAGAACGACCCACTATTGAAGCTTCCTTTAAAACTTTAAATTAATTTGCTTATACCATTGGGAAATTACACCTTTTTCCTAAAGCATGACAATTTTTATTACAATCTTCATTATTCTGTTGGTTTTTTTTGAGCCCAAAGGGTCAAATGAATTCCAAGAACAAGTCTTGCAGGGAATGGAGAGGTCCATTCTGAAACACGAAGGGCTCAGCCCTCTGCAAGAATAGATCCTGCATGGTCTACCTGGTCATTTTGTCTTGACTCTCCGTGCCACAGCTCTATAGTAGGACCTGACCTATTTTAATCCCACATGAATACGGTGAGGAGAAATTAAAGTCTGTATGGCACATGAATATTAGTGTAAGGAGTAAGATGCAACACCAAGAAGAAATTAAATAGTCCTGCCTTCAGAAGAGAGTTTGAACTGAGAGCAAACTGTGATATACCTGCTCCATTACTTGAGTTCTGAAACCTAGAGAGAAAATACAACAAAACAGAATGTGATCGCATAACTACCGACTTTATCATACTTCACAAAGTGGGGGGAAATTAAGGTTACACTCGCAGCTTTAATGTTACCTAAGTTCGAGCGTGCAACTTAGCATCCCTAATAATGTTATTTTAACATAATTTTAAATGTGTAATTACTTATACAGCTCCAGACAGTAGGTGTGCATGATGCTTTACAGGCATATAAAACTGACTGATCCCTGCCCCCAGGAGCTTGTGTGATGACACCATACATGGGATGGGAAAAGAGGGGGTATGGGAGGACAGGAGTTGCAACAGTGTGAGATCATGAGATGTGTTTACTGCTACGTAAGCAACATTTCAGCTTCTCTGTGGTTTTCTTGTTACTCATTTAACACTATATATTAAAATGTGTTGAACAGATACATGACACAGAAATCAGCTGTAAGGAAGGATACGAAGAAAGAGAACCATGCTGAACAGGGTTCAGTCAGCAGTTAGTATTAAAATGTTCGCTGTCAAGCGTTGTGTGTATCAGTTATTCATACGGTGGTAGCCCTCTTCACCTCTAGCTCCTCTACCAGGCACTACACAGACATGCCATGGGAGAGGACAGCTGCGTGCACACTTTTACTTGGAAAGCAGTAAGAGGCTGCAGGGGACATGAGAGGCAGACTGAGCTGGTGCAATAGGTTAGAGGAGGCAGAGTCAAGAGTAGACCTTGGCTTTGACATCTGATTTGATGCTCTACATGCTACCCAACTGATATGCATATCTGGATTACAGTTACTTAAACAAAATATCCCCAAAGAAGAAAACAAAATATCCCAAAAGAAGAGTGTACCTGCAAGTTGCTCCATGAACTGGAAAATAAGACCCTGGTGGGAAATCCCTAGTACTGGGACACTCTTAGGTAAATCTGCTCCGTTTTTATACTCTGGGAACTCCAGACTGTGTTGCTACTGTGAAGCCAGTGCTATGGGCAATTTCTGGTCTGGCCATATATTACACAGTGCTGTGAAGAGACAAATCCACTGCACGATGAAAAGCATGCCCTTAAAACCTCAGAGCTATCCTTGACTTCAAGAGTAGAGGAGCGAGGTGCAGAAGACTCTGTCCAAAAATCTCTGCTGTGATTGCACAAATTTGTTCACAGGTGCAAATAACAGATCTGAGATGGCCATATTTTTTATTATTATTGTTCACATTTTTTTAAATTTAGTGAATAAGGTGTCCCTGCTCTAGCAGGGGCGTTGGACTAGATGATCCCCAGGGGTCCCTTCCAACTTCAACCATTCTGTGATTCTGTGTGATTTTCCAGGGCTGCCAGGCATCCGTGCTGCATAGAGACTACCCAGAGGACTTACGTAATTCCTGAAGGTCAACAAAAAGTGAATTAAAAAGAAAAATGTAATCAACCAAAGAAAACACCACGGCAAAATATTCTTGATAGTCCAGTGATGCACAGAATAAGCCTTTAGATTAAACCTACATAAGACCTTTAGATTTGATCCTTCTTTTCACTCTGGTTCTTCAAAACATACCTGCAAAATAGCACTTCTGCTTTCTTTAAAGCCTCATTCCTTTCTAAATATGATTTGATCCTACTTTAAGAGTATTTTTGGTTATGCACACAATATAATATGGTTTTAATATAAAGAATTATAAAGCCTGTGAATTAGTTATTCCACAGGACAATGCTAAGCCAAGAATTTTGGTCAGCTTGTCGTTTACAAAGATAAGCTAAATATCAGTCATTTATTAGCTTTTTTTTCCCAAAGGCTGGTCCAAATTAGTCCCTAAATGAAATTTCTGGCTTCCATGGAGCTTAGACTTAAGGAGGACGCTTGTCTCATTGCTGCTAACTACTGTTACTCTCAGCCATGACACGTCCTCCAAATACCTTTATTTTCCTTTTATAATTGAGTTTGATCGTAGTACATTGACTGACAGAATATAACAGCAATTATTAAGCTCCATGTATAATTTTCCTTTAAGTATGAAACATACTCAAAATTCCATATATCATGATACCAGTTACTCACACAAACGACACATTTTACCTCAACTGAGGATTCAGAAGGCTCATTTGGCCACAAAAACAGTCTTTGTTCATCAGAAGAACCATGTACAGTATCAGAGCTCCCAAGAGATTTTATCAGTGGGCCGAGAAGGACTAAGAGAGCAAAACTTTGAAACTGATGTTCTCCAGATTTAGCTATAACCAAAATTCTACTCAGAACTGATTCAAGATTTTCACAGGTTTTAAACAGGTCTAAAAATTATATAGGTTGCTATCATTTTTTTTTAACCTAAAACAATTATCTTAAAAATAAAAGTTTTTTTTTCCCTCTGCACTTAGGAAGTAAATTTTGAAAATTTAGCAATTTGACCTCAAAAAGAGCTGAAAGAGCACAATTTCCAAACATGGCTTGTTTACAAATATAAGCTAAAAGTGCAACGCTTAAAAGACCCTATCAGTATCTCTGCTGTGGCAGTCTAAAGACTTCCAGAAGACTAAAATCATTCACAAATGTTCAGTGCCCTAAAGCTGATCTGCAATAATTTTACTGTCCCAAAGCCTAAAGAATACTAGACCTCATGAGCAAGAGAACACACCCATTCCTCCAGCTTGGCAAGGATGCCTCTGACCACCAGCCTGTGAAGCACTCCCCCAAGCCAGTGTCATGTGCAAAGTGGCTGAGGGCATGTTGTATCTTCTTGCCCCTTTGTCTCTATTATTGCAAAGTTTGCATATTTGTGAGCAAAGATAAATCTCAATCCAATGGAAAAAAATGTCTACCTTTCACTGATGTGAAAAATAAGGAAAACACTAACTTGCAAGAGCTAGCGTATTACTTTGGTTATAATGGCCTCTTTTATTGCACTAAAATATAGGACAAATCCCAGATATTTTTCACTGATTAGGATTGCTCTTCAAGGCTATTTCTTTGATGTCTTTATTGATCATTATGGTAACTTGTATTATTTTTCCTGGATGTGCATGTGTTTTTTCCAGTTTGGATCCTGCAGTTTGGAGGAAAGTTGGGATTGCTCTAATTATCTAACAAGGCCTGATCTATGTCTACTGAAATTAATAGGTTGCTTTTTTTGGATTAGGCCTGGAATGTTAATTGCAGCTACCATATATTAGTCTAGCGTATATAAGCCTCCATACAGACACTGCACAAGGATCTAAGAAATTGTAAAAGGCCAAACCACAGGGAAGAATGCATTGTTAAGCAAGTATCTGAATGAGACTTGACCTTGTCCCTGTTGAAACTGATGGGAAAAGAAAAGCCCAAAGATTATTCCAACAGGGTAAATACTGACTTTGGCCTAATTTGTCCCTGACTGCATGATCCAAAATGAAGTTCTCCTTCAGAAATGTGTGGAAGGAAATAACTAGGTCATGATACATATACTTATGAAGGGGCTACAGATTAGCAGCGGAATGGAGAGAGACCAGAAAGCACAGACTTTGTGTCAACTGAGAATTCAGAGGAATTTCTGGCCCCTATCCCATGACTCTGCAGCATCACACAGAGTGGATCCCTGTGAGTACCACCAGGCCACCCTCCTTGCTGCAGGCACAACTTCCTATTTGGCCAGTTTGTATTTGCAAAGTCCTATAAATTTTGGGTTCTCTTTGCAGCTCTGCCACCAGCTATGTGAGTTTTGGCAAACAAACACTGTCAGAGTCACTTGTGCTTGCAGGTAGTTTCTAGTTAAATTTCAGGTTCTTGCACTTTTTTGCAAAACCTTCAGGAAAATGTTGATTTATTTATTAAGAAAAAAAAAGGTAGGGGATGGAATATGCTGAAAAGAACACCATACGTATAACAGCAATGGATGTTAGAAGCAGTAGGGCATATATGCACACACACAAACCAAATCCTAAATTTCACTGGATACAATCCTTCCCTACCTAGCTTTAAGTGACTTTATTCTTTCCGCCTTATGCTTGCATCTGCCCTGCATGTAATTTTTCTAGTTCAACACAGAGTAAAATTTGAAGTATCTCATGTGCTATGTACTACAGAACAAACCAAACTCTAACAAAACTATTTCACTCTTTTTTGAAGAATTAACTCTGGAGGGCAGTGGCCTTGTTGCAAGAAATGTAACTACAAGTTCCAACAAAAAAGTGACCTTTTTTGTAGCCTGTTGCTACAAGTATGCCTGTTGCTACAAGTATTGGCATTGAGCATTTGCACCTTTTTTGTAGCCTGTTGCTACAAGTATTGGCACTGAGCATTTGCATTGGGAGGAGTCCCGTGGCATTGGTACTGGTTTATGAAAATGCAGAAGACAGTAAAAGAAGCTGATTTTGTGATTTAAGTGATTCTCTTTGTAAAGGGGACATTCTCAAAGAGTCGGCTGCAAATGGGTTCTTACCTCTCTGGAGCACTGTCGGACCCCACGTTCTCGCAGCAGGCAGCCCTGGCAGGACACGTGTCTATGCCATACATGGGCTCCGTCTCAGCAGAGTCCAGGAAGCCATTAACCCACTTGTCTCTCGACTTCACACTGTCATTTTGTGAATCCAAAGATACAATATCTGATGGGGAGCTCACGACACCAGAGTCCTCGGTGGTCTCCTCAGATGCAAAACAGCTGCTTTCTGATGCTGTTTCTTCCACCTCCGATAGCTCCAGAACCACATCATCGACTACATAAACATTATCACGTGCAGGCAGCAGGCTTTCTGAATGAAATACAGCAAAACAAATGAAAAAACCCAAAGAGTTAGCTGAAACTCACTAGTAAATAAATTAAACCACCAAGAGTGAGATCCTGAACCCACTGAACTCAATGGCCGTTTTGCCATTGACTTCATCGGTTCCAGATCTCTACAACATTCATTCCATTGCAGTTGGAAAAGAATACATTAATTCCAGTAGAAGCAGTAGGATGGAGCTCAATATTTGTATACATGGTAAAGATGATTTGCAAAATAATAGAATTTTGCTGTTAGGTTTTAGAAACATGGCTTGTCTCACCTGTTCTGTAAAATTTAGGTTTTATAACATTTGTATCTGTTCCCTTATTCTCTCAAGAAACAACTCTCCAGGGACAGCTTCTTGGAGGACTAGAGAAATGGGAGCTTTCAGCTTCCTCAAATTAAAGGGCAGAAAAGTAAATTTAACTGAAATGGTAGGAATGGCATAAACAAAAACTAATAATAATAAAAAAGACAGAAAAAATTCAACTTCAACAATAAACCAAAGTTTAAATGATGAACTACAAAAAAAAAAAAATGTTATCACTTCTGATGACATAATCTTATTATTCCTCTTGCATGCCGCCAAATATATAAGAAGTCTATAACAAACTAAAAATGGGCAGCATTTCTCAATTAGGACACTAAATTGGTAAATTAGATCTATTGCTAGACCACTGAGTGAATTGCTATTTCACCACTCTTCAATTTTCTCTGTGTTAAGTGGGGAGAATAACAGCCATCTCTTTTGCAAAGCATACAAAATCAACTAAAACATGTAACAGAAAAGTAGACACTATCATGCTTAAAACACAGTGGATTTTTTTCCATTTTTAAATTGTTTATAAGGAAGGAGATGAAGAGATAACGAACTTTGCATGTTTAACTCCGTTAAAGTTGCAAGTGATGATGAGACCTGATGATGTCAGACACAGTACAAATTTTTCATGCTTTTCTTTAATTTGATGCCTTCTGCCTTTTTTTTTTGTTTTGTTTGTTGTGAAAAATATAATTTTGCTATTTTCCTTAGCAAATGTACAAATATGGACTCCATGTTGCAATTATGCCAGTAAACGGAAACTCTCAATAACACCAATAATTTCAGAAAAAAATGAAGACAAACTTAAGCCCAAACATACTTTTTTGATCAAAAGGAATCAATGTAGATGAATAAATGAATGTTTCCTTTGAAATTATGAACCTGCTCCATTCTCTTTTTCAAACTCAGTAAGCAAAAGAAAGATTAAGCAACGTATGTTATAGCCTGATCCTGCAAACAATTGCGGTGGATGTTAATTACAGGAGAAGTCTCAGCTCTCTAAGCATGATTATGAGCAAGCATACACTTAACTGTTTGTAGGGTCAGAATGTGCAAGTTTTTGAAGTATATATGAAGTGACAAGCCAATAAAAATAACAGAGAGAGAAAAAAATTCTATTATGCTGCATATACCGAAGTATTTTCTTTAAAGTGAGAGGAAAAACAGGTATCATAGAAATTATTTTAACATGCACTTCAACAGGGAACCTTTGTGTAAAATTAAAATAAAAATGAAACCAACATTCTCCTTGACTGAGGTTACAAGATGCCATTAAGTGCTGAAATTGATTTCTCACAGCAGAAGCAATAAAATTCACAGGGTTACAAATCACAATTGGAGCTATAAGTGCTGTCAAGCACCAATATTAATGATGGAAGATGATACAAAGACTCTATTGTGACTTTGTAAGAAATGTTACTTGATTTCTTTGACCTTAATTTCTACAACATTAGCTCTAGGTTCCAGATTTAAACCAAGAGATCATTCCAACTAAGAATATCAATTAAAAGAACTGAGTATACGTCACTGGATGCATTATGTCATGCTCATGACAGAAGAGCTGTCAGGAAAACAAACCAATATTAAGGAAAAATAAGAATTATTTGACACTAATCACCAAGCAATCATAGCCACAAAGATACATAATAAAAAGACAACAGCGAACAGTCAGTGGTTAGTAAAAGCTATAATACGTTAAGAATAAAGTGAGATATGGTATAGCAAAGAAAGTAATTTAGAGAGTAGGAATCCTTGGAAAGTTTTGAAGTAATGCACAATGCAGTGTACCTTGATGCAAAGAGACCTCTATATAGTAAAGGCCACCATTAATTAGTCCCACAGATAGCTGGGGCAACAATGTGTAACACGTTACCTACTTCCAGACCCTGACAGGGATGGCAGGTTTTTCTTCACGAGCTGTCTAACTCTTCCCATCCTCCTCTTCCCTGCCAGAAATATTTTCTGGTGTAGAAGAACTTGCTTGCACCTTCCCATTCAGGAATCCCTTTTAGTCACACAATCGTACTAGCCTATTGGAGTAATAAAACCCTCTTACTGATGTTATTCAGCAAGTCCAACTACAGGACTGCTGCCTACCCTGACTTTCCATATAGTGACAACAACAACAATAAAAGAAAACCAAGTCTCGTATTATCAGTGACTATGTGAGAACGGATCCATCAGCTCTAGATCTCTCTAGCTGCACCATTCAGTCCAATAGCAGATCTTCCTTATACAACAGCAGGTCTTACTTATTCAACGTCTTAAACTGCAATTCTATTCTCAAGCACAGCAATACAGAGAAGAATCCTTCTATTCAAAAGTTTGCACAAAAGTGAAATAATTCTCTTTCTTCAAGCCTACCAGTTTGTCAGGGCAGTGCTCTATATACTTTGTGATAAGACTACAGTGAATTGGTAGTAGATTTCCACTACTACTCACCCAAACATGAAGCACACACACAAAATATGAACACTAAAGTCCTATGTCAACAACTGTGTTTCAACTAACAGCAGCAAGAAAACACCCTTATTTTAAAGTGGAGACATCCTTAGGCAGATGGAGATTGTTCTTCCTTCCATTCTCTTTGTTAGGTTTCCATGAGCGTAAACCGAAAATGATGGGCTGCAAGAGCACTCAGCTAACTAATGCCACACATCATAGAATCATAGAATGCTTAAGGTTCAAAGGGACCTCTAGAGGTCATCTAGTCCAACCCCCCTGCACACGCAGGGTCACCTAGAGCACATGGCACAGGACTGCATTCAAGTGGGTTTTGAAGATCTCCAGAGAAGGAGACTCCACAACCTCTCTGGGCAGCCTGTTCCAGTGCTCTGCCACTCTCACTGTTAAGAAATTTTCCTTAAGTTCCTGTGGAACTTCTGGTGCTTCAGTTTGTGGCCATTACCTCTAGTTCTATCGGTGGCCACCACTGAAAAGAGACCAGCACCATACTCTTCACTCCCTACCTTGAGGTACTTATAGACACTGATTAGATCCCCTCTCAGCCTTCTCTTCTCCAGGCTGAACCGGCCCAGCTCCCTCAGCCTCTCCTCATAGGGCAGATGTTCCAGGCTTTTGATTCCAGGATCATCCTTGTGGCCCTGTGCTGGACTCTCTCCAGCAGCTCCACATCCCTCTTGTACTGTGGAGCCCAGAACTGGACACAATACTCCAGATGCGGCCCCACCAGGGCTGAGTAGAGGGACAGGATCACCTCCCTCGACCTGCTGGAGATGCTCTTCTTAATGCACCCCAGGATCCCATTGGCTTTCTTGGCCACAAGAGCACACTGCTGCCTCATGGTCAAGTTGACACAAGACACACATCATGAAAAAACCCTAGATCAGCTTACTGAATGGTCCTGACTTTGGGAGTCAAAAAAAAATCTTCCATACCTTACTGATTTGTGCATAGAGACAATGTAATACATTACAACAGTAATAGATGAGATTTTGCCTTGCAACTTTTGCATAATTTTCTCCAGAAGGAGAAGCAGAAAAAGACTACACACTGAGCACAGTGTGATCCCCACAATGGCAGCTGACTGAGGTTATTTGTTTTTTGAAGAATCCCAACATTTGTGTCTTTCTTTTCTGTCATTACATTAAGATTTCAGATATGGTCTCTGATCTCCGAGAGCTTATGCAGGAAAAAATACCCGTATGATAGATAATGCTAAACAAGCAGTTCAGGATTGGACAAATGGACACACGACTAACAATTGCCACAAATATATTAAAGCACTGCTGAAACAATGCTGTGCCTAAGAAGACTCTCTATTTCTAAACGCATAAAAATACCAAGCTCTTCTTTCAGCAATGTGTAACCAAGTCCATTGGCTTCAAGTGGGGTGCTATGCTGCAGGGGGAGTCCAATTTGATTTGTAGTTCTGAAGTTGCTCTCAAATTTCTGCGATGTCTCATTCCTGACTGGGATGAGACAGTGCCCACCAGCGTCCTGCACGCATTCCCACTTACCTACATCACACAGGAGGTTATGGAATCGGCAAAGCCCAAATTAGTTTCATCCCCCCGGGTCCCCCTTGCTTAGCTGTAAGGGCATTGCCGCTGCACAATTAGGTCAACCACAAGTTACAAAGGATTTCTTCTGGGGGGCCGAGGGGGTTGTTTTTAAGAAATGCTGCCTGTGATCACCAGGAGGGAGAGAGGAGCACAGCTCATCAGTAAAGAATGCGAGCTTCTTGTTTAACACAAAAGCGATCTTGTTGCTTTAATCTCAATATGCTGTAATTAATTAAGACATCGCTGAACTCAGCGTTGAGAAGAATCATATCTGTGTTCATGCAGCTTGATACTGCATGTATGTACACACTGTTCACCGAGAATGCCAATGATGGGCAGAGAGATAAATCTCACCTGGTTTAAGTGCTACTCAACAATTTCAGAAATGAAGGTTAAGACTACACTCTGTATAGGAAGACTACTGCAGGTAAAATCCTCACTTTAATTACTAAGAAAATAACCATCACTGACTTCGAATGAGATCAAAATGTCAGTTAATGTGCTCAAAAGATGTATATCCTACCAAGACTTACGAACTCTGAATCAAAGTCCATGTTACTAAAGCCCAAGCCAGCACTCTCCCTGAGTTCAGTGGGCACAAGGCATAATTCCTAACTTTCCAAATTAGGACTGTTTGATAA